TAGAATAGAATAGAATAGAATAGAATAGAATAGAATAGAATAGAATAGAATGGAATAGAAATGGAATGGAATAGAAATGGAATGGAGTAGAATAGAATAAAATGGAATGGAACGGAACGGAGTGGAGTGGAGTGGAATACAATACAGTACAGTACAGTACAACACAATACAATACAATACAATGGAATAACAGAGTTGGAAGGGACCGTGCTTAAGGCAGGACATCCTACACCACTTCAGACAAATGGTTATCCAACATTTAAAAAAACAAAAAACTTCTAGTGTTGGAGGATTTACAACTTCTGGAGGCAAATTGTTCCACTGATTAATTGTTCTAACTGTCAGGAATTTTCTCCTTAGTTCTAAGTTGCTTCTCTCCTTCATTAGTTTCCATCCATTGCTTCTTGTCTTGCCCTCGGGTGCTTTGGAGAATAGCTCGACTCCCTCTTCTCTGTGGACCTGAGAGAGAAGCTGGCACAGGCCTTCTTTTGGCCAAGGGATATATTTGGGGCTGCGGGGAAGGGAAGAGGTTCCCACCCACCCCTTGCCAACTTTTATTTGCAGGTAAGGTAGAATTTGATGGAAGAATATTCCTGCCATTGCGGCTTGAACCTTCCTCCCCCAGCCATGGTGGGGTAGAACCAAAGCTTGCGGCGCTTCCCAGTTGTGCTGGATTACAACCCCCACCATCCGTAGACAGGGCTATCGGGGGCCACGAGTGACGGATACTAAGGTCAAGCAAGAACGAGAGAAACTCCGTATGGAAAGCTACTTCAGGGCACTTCGCCAGGCCGGGCGCTGGTTGAGACAACCAGGCTGGGAAAGTTCTCCAGCTGTTGAATCTCAGGGAAGTTCCCGCGCGCAAACGCCACGGGGGTTTCGTCTTCTAGGAAAAGCAGCCGAAACCCAACCGTTTTGGTGGGGGAATCCTTTTGGCTTCATCTCGAGATCGTCTCAGAGCTTTCCCGCCTTGGCAGCCAAAGGAGAAAAAAGTCGCCAGAATTTGGGAAACTGCGGGGGTTCCCTTAATCCTCGCCTCGCGCTACTTTCTACACTGCATGCCTTGAACTTTTCCGAAAGAGCAGGCTCCACATTTGATTTATGTTCCTTTGGTTAAATGCTTAAGACGACAGGGTCAAAGTGGCGTCTTGATCGCCTGTCTGCATTCAAAACTTGTTTATTCCTCACACCCAGAATGTATAAGGACCTTCTATTCGAGCAACTCTGCCTTTCTCTCTCTGTACTTGCGTTTGCGTGTGCACACACATACACTCATAGGACAGAATATTAGGCAGAATCCCGAGCTCATTGGAACTATATACAGTAACGGATTCTCCCAGTCTCGGCGCGCATTAAAAAAAAAAAAAAAGGCCTACGTGCATTGGCAGGGCTAAATGCTGTGGATTTTTCTTCTAAAACATGGCTCGAGGTTTATGCAAAAGGATTGGATTTAAACCGGTTCCAGTCTCATTGGAATCCAGATCTTAGATAGGGATACTGTAATTAGTATTAAATCTGCCTTGGACTGCCTGAGAAATAATTCCTCACCTTCCAATTCTGATTTGAATTGATCTCTAAGCAAGTCGTGTCGACTTCCGACCCTAGCTTTGCAGCCAACATTGCTTGTTTCCGTGCATGAGGGTTTAAGTATCGTTTAATACCGAAAACGGAGGGCGATCTCCGAATATTTAGCCCATGATAAATATTCTGATATCGCCAAGAATTTCAGAATTTAGCCCACAAGAATTCAGCTCTCGTCCTATAACCGGTTCTAGAAATCATTCAAAAGTGTCTCTAGTTACCCACTGCGAATAAACACATCTGGAGAAATCGGGGCGGAACAATTCAAAGGAAGCTGGGGGCTTTGTCTGGAGCCCCCCGGGGATGGTCCTCAGTGGCTCTCAGGTACCCCGGGCCAGGTCCAAACATAGTGAGAAAAAGTTTAGGCCCGTCCTGCTGCGGGGTTTGATCCTTGGTCTCGGAAGGATAACAGGCGCTGTCTATCAAAAAACAAAAACAAAAAAAAACCTCGACAGATTGCCAGGTTCTGGGCAGCCCTTGGACCCCGGACCGATCTTTCTTTCAGGCTTGTTCAGCCCGCTCCCACCCCGTCACCTCCCGTCGCTTCTGGACTACAATCCTATGAAACTGCACAGATCACCCACCCACCCCCGCCGGATCGATGGACTCTGTAGTCTGGTGCCTTGAATGGCAAACGACCAGTGGAAGAACAGCCTCGGCGGCCTCCCTGTTTTCCGTGTCTAACGTTGTTCTTCCGACTCTAGTTCAGTTCCGGAGGGGCCACTATTACCCTTTCCAGAGCAAACGGTTGTCTTTATAGCAAAATGCACTTGAAAAAGGAAAGGCGAGCCTGCTACGATCCTCCAGCTTTGCTCAGGTGCTTGTGAAAGACTGGCCCGTCCAAAACGGCCGGTTGCGGAATTATCACAGTTTGAGCTCTTGCAATGCCTCGTTTCAATGCTTGAAATGATAAAAGGTCCCGAACGCCCCTGCGGATGCCCCCGAAAGGTGAAGTTGAAAGTCGCCGATGAAATGAGGCCTTCGTTCTTGACTCTTCCGAAGCCGAAGCGCCCGGAAGAGCTTCTTTTCATTGGCACGGAGTGGCCTTGCTCTGAAGGTCAAGATGCCAAGCCCAGTTTGGATTGGCATTTTTTTTTAAAAAAAGGAAGGGGCTGCAAACGGCCAACCGAGTAAACCATTTCCAGAGCCTCTGAGCTCTGGAAGTTGAAAGGAAGTCGGTAGATTAGATGATGGCAGCAGACTCACCCACGCTAATCCGGGATTGTTAGGCGAACTAGCGGGCGAGTCGGAGCATCAGATCCAGACAGAGTCGAAATAGAATCTCTCTACCCGCTTCTCTCCCCCCTACCTCCATGGCAGGTAATGCCGCACTGGGGCTGGCCGAGAGGGTCCAAAAGAGTCTTAAAGGGTCTCCCAGGAAGCTCCCCCCCCCCCCAATCTTTGGAGTTTAAAATATCCTTGGGAAAGGCGGGTTGCAATTCTTCGTCTCTGGCCAGCGCTCTGGTGTCGTAGGTTCTAGTGGTGTGAGCTGCAGTTCACATTCAAATTCCAAACAAACAAATGAACAAAACTTTCCTTTGCAGATTGTTCTCGTCTTCTTTTTGTTAACTTTGTGGCCGATTAGACAGTGTAGCCCAGGGGTCTCCAACCTTGGCAACTTTCAGCCTGGAGGACTTCAACTCCCAGAATTCTAGAAATTGAAGTCCACCAGGCTGAAAGTTGCCAAGGTTGGAGACCCCTGGTGTAGCCTAAAGAACAGGGCCTGCAAAAAAAAAATTGCAAAAAGAGCGGACTTTGCATTCGCCCCTCTGTGAAGCTGCGCTGCCTGTAAAACTCAGCCACCTACCGGTATTTGCCCTCGAGGAATCAGTAGCAGCAGCTCGATTTCAGTGGGAGTTATTCCCAGGCCAGTGTGAAAAACTTTGCAAGGCACAATTGCCGGGCGAAGCTTCCCGACGCCTCTCAAAGCAATAAATAGAAAGGGTCTTTATAGAAGAAATAAAGCACAAATGCTCTTAAGGAGAGGCTTCTTCCCGATCCTCGCACCCATTTTAAGTCGAGGCATTTTCTTGTGTCCCCCCCCCCCGCCCCCTCTTTCTTTCCAACCCCCCCCCCCCTTGAAATCAACGGCTCAACAAACGGCGACAGAGTGTACAGAAAGCCAGATAATGGAAAATGTAATTTATATCTTCTTCAGTGAATGCAACCGTCTTGAATGACAAAACACAAGCGCGAATACCCACCAGTCTACCCGAAACTTTCCAACCTGAGGGGTAGTTTGGATGGAACCCTTCTAGATATGGGAGGGTGGGCGTCGAGACCACAGCCCCTTTGCCTAACCCCTCCCGGGAAGAAAGGAGGTGCAAGGTATTTGGGCAGGGACTCTTTGTTTTAAGTGGGGGGAGGGTGTCAAGGAATCTGGGCGCTAAAAGCCAACACCTGCCCCACCGAAGTCCCCGACCTGCCTGTGGGGACGGTCAGCCTTGCCACATCCTCGATTCCCTGCTAAGCGGGTTCCGGAGAGTTGGCACTTTTTCTCTTGATGGGGGGAGAACCGGATCAGCACCGATTGTGTCGCCAAAAGAAAGCCGACGGTTGGCCGGCGTTTTTCCGTTTGTCTGTTTTTAAAGCGACGGACCCTCGGATTCTCCGATCAAACCAGGCCCATTAATGGGGGAGCACCGGTCCCATAAGTCTGGAATCAGTCAGCTCAACTTCCCACTCAACCCCCGGCTCTCTTCTCCTTCCCTTTCAACTCTGCAAGTCAAGACACATCCCTGCCAAAGGGGCCTCGGGGCTGGTGCAGAGTGCCCTTGGCAAGGGGCCACTGCGGGACCGAAGCTTGCCTTCCCGGATGGAGAGGCAAAGCTCAAGCGGGCTCTTGGGCACCTCTCGTCGGAATGACACACGCACACACACACACACGCACGCACACACACAGCCTGCCAGCCCTTTCCGCCTTACCGGGTCCCCCCGCCGTGGGCTTCCTCATCCAGTCGCAGAAGTTCCGCCGCTGGCCGCCAGGGGAGAGAGGATCCGACCCGAGCGGCGGGTTGAGAGGCTGCATCAGCCCCGTGGAAGGGGGGACCCCGCAGGGGGGCGCCGGAGGTCCCTGGGAGGGATGGTGCGTGTGCGGGAGGTAGTCTCCGGCGGGGCTGTAAGCCAAGGCGGCCGGGCTGGGTCCGTGCAGGGCGGCGGCGGCGGCGGCGGCCGCCGGGGCCGTCCCGGGGCCGCCCGCCTGCCCATAGCCGTTCCACTCGTCTCGCAGGGGCGCGCCGTAGGCGGCTGACCAGGGCGACCCTGGCGACTGAGCGTTGTCCAGTCCGATCCCAGCGGGCATGTGGTAGGCGCCGTAGTCCGGGTACTGCGGAGCGCCCACGAAGTTCTGCGCGGCGCTCAAGTTCAGCCCCCCCGCGTGGCGCACCGAACCGGGGTACATGGAGGGGCTCTCTTTCTCCAGCAGGTAGCTCACGTACATGGTGGTCCCAGGCGAGCGGCGCTCCTCTGCATGCTGCTGCTGCTGCTGCTGCTGCTGCTGCTGCGGGAAGAGGCTTGGCAAGTGGCGGACTGGCGATTGGGGGGCGGGGGGGACAGGCTGAGCCGAGCTGGGCTGCGGCTTCCTCGGGCCTTAAGGGCTGCGGGCTTCCTCCGGGCGTAAAGGCGCTCCCCGCGCGGCTTTGGAGGCAACCGGCAACCCCCGGGAGCTGCTTGAGGACGAACGATTCTTGAGGCGGCTCTCTTGGAAATGGCCAGGCCAGGCCCACGACCCGAGGCAGGTGACGTGGAGAGAGGGAGGAGGGAGGGAGGGGAAAGGAGAGCCGAGAATGAGAGAGAGAGAGAGAGAGAGAGACGGGCGGGCAGGCACCGGTGCTGTCTCGCTTGCTCCTCGCCCCCCAAGGAAGATTTGCATTTAAAAGGAGAAGCGAGAGGGCACAACAACCTAGCCAAAGCATTTATTGTTTTAAGAGCTTCCTTCTTCCATTGCAACCTGGTGCACTTTAACCTCCAATCGCAGGTTCAAAGGATTCAACCCGAAGGATTTGCAAAAGAGAAAGCAACTGGGGGGAGGGGGGCGCGGAGGCGGGGGCGGGGTGGGGGGGCTCGGTTAAGGAAGGATAAGGTGGGAATGGATAAGCCAGAAAAGCCGGGAAGTCTGGCAAGGATGAATGCAGGAGGCGCGCGCGTGTGTATCTGTGCGTGTGCAAAGGTGGCTCTTGAAAATAAGAAAAAGAAAACCAAGATATTGGGGGAGACCGAGGAATTGAGGGAGGGAGAAACCCCCCCCCCAAAAAAACCAATAACTTCTGGAAAAGAATGTGAAGAGGGAACCTGAGAGGCTATCTATTCTAACCCACATCTCGTTGCTTTCGAGGGAAAGTTTCTCCACTTCAAAAGGAGAGGAGGGGTGCTTGCCTAGAGCCTTGCGGGCGGGGGGAGGGATCCATCTCCCCCTCCTAAAAGCACTTCTTCAGATTTAGAAACCATTTGCGCATTAATAACCATTGGCCAGAATCATCCCAGAGAAGCGGGAAAGGAAGCGTTCATTCAGCCCCAATTACAAAAAAAAAAAAGAGCCCATAAGTGAATCTCGAACATTAACAGGCTTATCTTAATGTCTTTGGGGGTTTGTCATACGCCAAGAAAGTCCTATAAGAAAATCCTCCGGTTGCAAGAAACACTGAAGTCCGTTCTAGCGTGTG